ATATATATATATATATATATATATATATATATATATATATATATCATGTAGCATAAGGCACATGTCTTAAATGACATGATAATATGATACAGACAGAACACAAGTATTTACTGTTGTCGGCAAACCTTCCCGCCCCCGATCTTGTGCTTGTTGACATGACATCCGTGTGCACACCACTAGAAGGCTTTTTGGATGGTAATCCCCTGAGGAATATGGGTAGTCAGCGTCCCCCAGAGAAAGAATGGCTGTTTCTCAGCAAGTCTCAGTCTGTAGCCACAGGAAGAGTGTGCTCTCCCCTTTACCATGGACCTCATAAAAATTACTTTGGAGCTTCTGGGGAGACCTCTCTGGCCTCAGACTCAGGGAGCAGCCCAAAGGGCTGGAAGTTTAAAAACCAGACATGGCTGATGGACACCTCAAAGACCCTTGCTCATGACAAGCTTGTAAAGGTTGGGATATGAGTTGCAAATTTTATTAAACTAAAATCTTAATATGGTAATACTGGAAAAGACCTAGGCCTTAAGAGCTGGCACAGCAAGGCTCTCTGGGCTTCTGAGGCCAAGTTCTTGGAGCTAGGGCTGGGCCAACCCTAAGAGAACCTGGAAAGAGGCAAGCCATGGGGGGCTGGAGAGATGGTTCAGTGGTAAGAGCACCATACATGCTCTTCCAAAGGACCCAGGTTCAATTCCCAGCCCCCACACGGCAGCTCACAACTGTCTGTAATGCTAATTCAAAGAGATCTGACACCTTCACACTAATGCACATAAAACAAAATTAAAAAAAGAAAAAAAAAAAAAAGGCAAGCCATGAAAAAATGCTACATGTACCACAGAAGGGTTAACCAGTTTTCTATGCAAAGTTGAGTGTGTATGTGTATGTGAATTATCTCTACCTCAGTTTCTTATCCAAAATGAAGTTAAACCATAAAAACCAACAAGGAAGTCTGACTAGACCAAAGAAGGGAAAGGTGAAGTTCACTGTCTGCCTCATTAAAGGACCTGAATTAGTGATGCAGGGCGATGGCTGTGGTTCTTGGAGCGGGCAGAGAAATGTGAGCGGGGAGGTTTCTGCATTGCTGGTGGAAAAGAGGCAACAGAATTCCACTTAAAAGTGAAATGGTTTCAGGTAAATACATCTGCGTGAAGAGAGGCTAGAACACAGAGCATCCTGGGGCAGACAAGGCACCGAAGAAGCAGAACCTTAAAGCGCTTCAGAGCTGACCGTACAGGAGAGGGGAAAGGGTTCCCTCACCAACCCTTTCAAGTTCCAGATGGTGATGCTCGAAGGCTGGTGCTCCCATCCCATCTCACTGCTTCCTGAGTGTGCTTCCTTGGGGCCTGGCTTCCCGCATGACATTCCTTACAGCCTCACTCTTAGCAAGTGTGACTGGGGCTGGATGGCAACAGGCAGCAATAGTAAGGGATTGCAAATGGTCACATGGAAGCAGGTTGAGTTGGTTGGGGGCTTTGGCAACAAAAAAAAGTGACTTGAGTTTGGGGGTGGGGTTTGGGTCACAGATGCACATAAAAGGAAGTAGAGAGTAGGAGCCTGATTGTTTAGGTTTAAAGCATGCATAGGCTTTAGACTAAGAGAAAGGGCCTAGTAGCTACATGTAGTGGTGCACGCCTTTAATCCCAGCACTTTGGAGGCAGAGGCAGACAGATCTCTAGCCTGGCCTACACAACAAATTGCAGCACAGCCAGAGGAGAAAGGGCTCCATGAGGAAAGGAATCATTTCAAGTGGAATCTTCCCAGTTGCAAGCCCAATCATCCTCTTCTGCAAACGTTAGGTCTGCTCAAACTAGCTGGAGCAAGCAGTTTGCAGTTCACGGCTTGGGGGTGGATTTGTTCATTTTGTGGTGCTGAGAGTTGAACTCCGGGAGGTGAGTCAGCACAAAAGGTGGACAGCTGGTCTCA